ACATGTTCCACCTGACCAAACACCTGATATCATAATTGTTGGCTCATCAATCAGGATGTTAGCACTATAAAAAGACCACAGGTGAGTACTTTCTTACAGCATCAATGGAAGCCAACATGGAAGCAAGAGGAAGAGGTGGGGTGAGAGTGAGAGGAGGACGAAGAGTACTCTCTAATGAAATGAAATGTTATCAACCATGGTTTGACGATGAGAGAGGCTGGACAGAGGGTTCAGCCTAATCTAAGCCGATTTACTGTTGCCTCTATAATCCGGACACTTAGACTTGATATCAGGTTAGTTACCAGTTTTTAGCTCTGCATAATTCATGATATATCAGTGCTTATATCTGTTGTGTGAAACGTATTTACTTCATTACTGTAATTGAATTGTTGGCATGTTGCATATTATAACTGTACAAACATCCTGCACAATTGTACTGTGGTAAACTTTCTTTTATGCAACACAGACACTGACCAACCATTATATCTTTGTTGTTTATCTGAAGGACTGAGAAACAAAGAGGTGCAGGTGGAAGGCTAAGGATTTTCAATGAGGCACAGGAAGCAGCAGTTATAAACTGGGTTTTGGCAAACAATGCATCACACTTAGAGAGATCAGAAGCATAGTAACTATATGTGCTGAGATGTTATTTTTGAATAAAATGTTTGTATTTCTTCATTTACTGTATTTCTGTATACTCAAGCAATCTTTCTCTGCAGAAACCTCTATGTAAAGAGCATAGCCCATAACAGATGAAAGTGCTTTAGATGATGCTCAGCAGTGTGTAGTTGGTCAAACAATCTAGTATTATGAATGAAGTTATATTTGGTGCAAAAGTTTGCATTTGGTAAGTGTTTATGTCGTTTTGAGTGCAGTTCTTCATTTAGCAGGAGCAATTAGGTGTTTTGCACTTTGGGTGTGTGTTTTTTTTAAATTGTATTTAGTGTTCTGAGGAACTGAGCAATTTAAAAAAAAATTGAGTTAGCAATCGAGAAAAACTGTATGACCTCTTTGACTTTCGTTGAAACCATAAAGAAATTGTGCTTTACAGTATCCATAGCGTCAGGCCTATAGTTAATCCATAATATTTTCCAATAACATAATGATTAAAGATGAACAACTTGAGTTTTTTTCAAACACTTAATTAGTGAAGAGACAGCTGCATCAGGCATAAACACCTCTACAGAATGTCATGATGTCTCCACTAGAGGGCATACCAGACAATTATGTATTTAATCCTATGGGGGAAAATAAGTAGGAAGTATTTTTAGTACAGGATTCAGGAAATTCAAATAAACAACACCATAGGTTTACTCACATGTGAGCCATCATTACCAGTAAAACCAGGGACACCAGTCTTGCCCTGAAATGTAAAACATATGCGCATGATTCATTAATTCAGGTTTAGATTGCATTATTGCCTCCCAAGCCATTGTTGTGATGGTTGTTTAAACTTTGAAGCATCATCTGCCTTTCTGTTTCTTTATGAAACGGAACAAATGAACACTTACCCGGTCTCCTTTGGGCCCTTCTGGGCCAAATGCTCCCTCTGTTCCCCTCCTGCCTTTCTCTCCAGATGACCCTTGATGTCCCCATGGTCCCATTGGCCCATGGGGCCCTTGCTGTCCCGCTTTCCCTGGAGCTCCCTACAAAGAGAAAAGTCATGTATAAAAAACTTTAACTTTGAACTTCTAACTGTTGATGTGAGTAATATTTGTTTCCTTTTGGATACAAGAATTGGTATAGGTGTTGCTTTGTTATTTACGTTTTTGACTTAAGAGTGCAATGTAATGTTTGTCAAATCATGGAAACTAATCAATAACTGCTCCTCATTTTGAATAATTCGAAAAGAAAACACATTTACCATGAATATTTTCCACACTTGATTATCTCGCTTATTGAAATCTCTTACAATTAACATTAATAAAATTACTAGGAGAGTCATTGCCAATACACAACAAATTAGAAGATAAAGTTCATACCCGGGCACCTTTAGCAGGATTACACTGACATACAGAGCAGTCTCTGCCTTCGCATGGGCCCTCAATGCTCCCCTGAAACAAAAAACATTGACAAACCATAGAGTGATTATTGCTGCAATGGGAGAGAGAGGGAGACTATCTGAGGCTGTGTGTAAGCTATCTATGCAGAACAGAAGACAGTAAGGGGTCAGGGCACATCAGTGGGCACATCAGATAAGGTTTTGGTTTGGGCATATCTGACATTCCTGAGTTTCAGCTGAGCTTTAATAGTAGCCTTGAGAATGACCACATCCCTGTTGAGACTGGAAAGTCCTGATTAGATAGTTTTAAACAAATCAATGTTCTCACAGAGATTTGTGTTAATAATGAGCTCTCTGACCTTGATGAGATAGAAAGCTCACATTTCTCAAAACTCTCTTGCTGAGAAACTGTTCTGTGAGTCTACATGTCCAGATGCTAAGTGTTCCCACCAATATGTTTACGGTCGGTTTAACAGTCTCTCCTACACAAACATTTAGTTATGTTTTCTCAAAGCATACCAAATATTTGGGGGAATTTATGCTGGTGAAGTGCAGTTCTATCGCACATCTGCTGTCCTACTTTCTCTTTTGGTCCAAACATTTAATGAGTATCTCTAGCATCAGTTGGCTAGTCCTGGATAGGCCACTTGGATTCAGTGCATATTGGGATCACATAGTTATAAGTAATAACACTGGACGGGCTCTATTGCCCAGTACAGCTACAGAACCTAAACCCTAAGGTTACAACTTACTACCCTTAGCTTGAAATACATGTCGAAAAAGTAGTCACATTAAATGGTTTAAAAGTGTCTGAACACCTTGTAGCCTAATCATTTGCATATCAAAATACACAACATAGCTCTTCTGAGAAGGTTTGAAAGCCTGGTCAAATTCGTATTTATTTACAAAAAATGATCTATTTAAACCACATGCCTAACAGATAAGCATATACATAATTCAATTAAAAACTTGCCAGATATAGAAACAGTTGCTAAACCAAGACAAGACACTCGGTGTTTGAGGGAGGGATTTTGGCGAACACTCGCGATAACGCGGTACGAACAGCAACACGAGTTTAAGGCACTTCTGTTAAGTAGCTTAAAAACTATTAAAATCTCATGGTACTCATGTTGGTTATAAGAAAAATAAACATGAGTTATATCCTCCCTTCGGTGGCTCAGAGGTAGGTTGTATAAATGAACATCAGAGATGCGATTTTGGGAGGAGGGCAACAACGATAATTTAACTGGTGTTAGGTTAATTTAGGAGTTGATCCGATGCAAAGTTAGAAAGCTACACATTTGTACCATCTGTCTCTTATTTCCCACACAGTTCAACACAGGTGATAATCTGACTAAACTGGTTGGTAAGCAAAACAGTGTAACGCTAAGAACTTGCTGTAATGAATCGAGTCAATTCATAATATCAAACAATTTCATGGGTTCAGATCAGAGATACAAGGTAGCATTTAGCCAAATTGACCAACCACACTTTATCCGAATGTTTAGTTTATCTTTAAAACAATATCCCGCGATGATTTTAAACTCAGGTAATTTCTTCAGAAGCCAGACCTTCAATTATCTGATGTAGGAGATAGTCCAAGTCGTTCAGGGGGATTACAGTTTCTATTTTGACCGTACAGGTAATACCTTTTCTAAGCATCAAATATCATTCATGCACCTGCATTGCCCAACACTCTGGGCATGCGCATAGTTGCTTTCCCACACTTTAGGATACTGACAGGGACAATTTTCTTCTGTTGTAGATACACTTTAAAAGAAAAATAGTATTCACACTATTTCTTGACTGTTAGACTTATATTTTTGTTTGGCATTTTTATATTGTGATTTATTGTTACGTTTCAGCTGACATATAAACCAGTATTGTTGCAGTAGGGCAGGCCTATGCCATTTAGGATAATATCAGAACAGCCACTCATTGCTCTACCTGAAGTAAACGGTCTTTGTGTACAAAAAAAACCCCAAGCATTCCTGTGCTGGAAAGTGGAGGTTACATCATATAAAGACATACAGTACAGAGCCACACACACAGTTTCCAGGTGCATTAAGTGCATCAAGGATTTTTTTCTTCGAAACACTTGACTATAGAGCATCTGCATGTGGCATATCTCAAATGTTTACAGGTCATAAGTATCGGGCTGGACTAGAAAGCTACTTACACCCAGTGACATACTTTGAGGGCATCAAGTTCATGATCTTGGCCTTGAATTGATGGTTCGTTATTTTTGATGGCCTAAGCTACATTCCAGGCTACTGTAAGCAGCAGCAGTGTTTGTGCAAATATGTTTGCAGCCTACTTAAACTGCAAATGATGAATTTCAATGTAATGCAGTCCAATTTAACATCCAAGTAGTCCCAACCAAAGCCCATCACTTCACAACACAACACATCACATCAAAACAAATGTAATGTTCAGGGCTCCATTTCATCTTTGCAAGTTCATGTATTTCCCCCAGTGTACTTAAAACACATGTTTAATCTATTGAGGCCCCAGCAAACTAAATAATTTAAACATAGTTTTGAAATCTGTTTTAGCAAAATCTGTGATCTGTGCTCATCCTTATATGTAGTCCTATTCAGTGCATATGTTGCCCCAATTGATATTGTCTTCACATTATTTAAAAATATATATATCATAACGTTTTGGCATGATTCATGGGATTACTGAATACAGTTTTGATAACAATAAATGTCTGCTGTCTCTTACAGTATTGTCGAATGTCTGAGTTTTGGTGGATTGCTGATAATTGTTTTCGCAGATAAAATATTCATATAGCACATTATCTTCTAAACAATTTTCTGCACAGTTTATTTAGCAAATCAACCTTACATATATTATTAAATACAAGGATTTGAGATTTAAAGGTTGTCATAGTAGCTTTAATCTAAATTTGAATACATGTAATGAAAACTTAAAAGAAAAGCCTTACTGCATTAAGCTGCTGCACAATAATGAGGAGGACAAGGATCCACCTGTGGATGTAACAGTGCGTAAAGATTAGCTGTAGTCATTCTGCACATTTACAGAAGGAAAGTAAAAGAGATGTTGTCCACCTCATCAGACTACAGAGGAGACCACAGAATGTAACTGTGTGTGTGTTCCTACTGTTGTGGATGTCAGGTTTTATACAGAGTTGGAACGGTATGCAGATGTGTTTAATATCAAAGTAAACAAGCGGGAAATGTGTTTGCCTTCTGGTAAATACAGTAGGTTTACAAATTAGGGTAATTCCTTTTAAGTGAATGAGAAATACCTCATTGCATTTACTGTATCAGGACTGTATGCTCTGCAGATGAAGGTTTAATTTGTGTCAAAAATATGATATATATATATATATTATTGTTGCCAGTGTTAAACATAAAATAAAAATGTAAAAGACTTGAAAATACATTAATCAAGAATATCTGATGTGGTGATACGGTTCAGTCAGAAAACATTATTAGTTGTAATCATCAGATAGATTCAAGATTCAAGGCTTGTATTGTCCTTTGTACATACTGTAGCTACAGTGTAGTTATGACAATGAAAATCTTAGGTCACAGGCTCTTCCAACAGTGCAACACAATAAAACAGATAATATTGCAAGTAAATAAAATATAATATAATAGAAATAGTGCAGAATAGTCTATATACAAATAATTGGAATAATGATATATAAGTTGCAACCAGATACATGTTATGGATGCCCTTTCAAAAGTGCAGGTGTTTAACAGTCTTATGGCCTATGGCCCTATGCTATGGTATGAAACTGTCCCTTAGTCTGGTGATATAGATATAGCTGCTGCTACAGATATTGATGATATGCGTGCAATATAGTTAACAACTTTATATAAATGTTGTTGTAGTGGGACTCACCTGAGGGGACACAGAGTAACTACAGTAACTGAGGATCCCATCTTTCTTCTCTTCCGTCCGCTTCACAGGTGAGTGTTGGCCTCAGTGCTGCCCCCTGTGATGGATAATAGGAAGCATGAAACACCTGTGAGCTGTGGGCCGGATGATATTATGTGACATTAAACTTTCTTTTGAGGTAGAAGGTAGTACATGTAATTATGATTACAAAAATATCTATTTGCTACTGATAAAGAAATTGTAGGTGTGAGACTTCCACCCACCAGATATATTTAAGCATACACTTTGCAGCCTATGTACACAGTCAATAATGCACATACAATAAGATGAAAAACTCACCCAATTTCAGAATATCAAATGAATCTTCATGAACGCCTCAGTGGCCCCCTAAGCAGGATACTCTCCGACAACAAGAACTAATCTCCTGCCTCTGTATCAGTGAAAACCAAACAGAGTAACTGCCACTGTTTGTGCGTATTTGGGATGAGGCGATGAGAAGGATGATGTTTGGGGTTGACCCGCATTGGAAAGCACGGGCCGCCTCCCTCTACAGGATCAAATTAAACAGTTTATCTTGGCTGTCCTGTCTATCAAGTACCTTTAATCCAGACGAAGAACCTTAATACAACTGAAGCCATGATCTAACATCACCCATAGAATATCAGTGGATGGGAGTATTTTTGAGCGTCTTCCTCAGTTACTACTCGTCACATCTGAGGTGTCAGTGGGTACTTTTTTTTGCTGGGGCAAGAAAAGAGCCATGGCTAGGCCACTGTTTCCTCTGATCCTGTTTGCTGTGTTGCTGATGGACACTGGGGCCAAAAATGTAAGATGTTTTATTTTCCTTACTGAAATAACATGGATCTGATTTTATAAATCTAACAGAACAGACTCCTATCTGCACTTTTATTGAAATGCATTTCAGTTATCCTTTTGTATTTGTGTAGGACACAATCCTAATTTGTAATTCTGTCAGGATCATACTGTTGCTTTTTATGTCTTAAATAACATACTGCAGAGAATGTGTTAGTTGCTGAGCTATAATGGTTGATGGGTGAAAAGTATCATAGCTTTTATCATGGCTGTTACAATGTTTTTAGGCAATACATCTGTAACATTTAAGTTAAATAACGTATCTCCTGTTTAAGCTTTACCTCACAACATTACACTCAGTCACTGTCTATGGGAAACCTGCATTATTCTGTGACAGAACGCTCCTTGTCTGTTTCCTGATGTGTAGAATGTCATTCACTTTGATATACAACGTTGTTGTCTGTTTGTAACTGTAGTGTCTACGCTCAGCTTTAAACATCTTGAATCTTGAAGAGATGCACGTTTTTTGGCAGTTCTGTTTGCACATTTCCTTCATTGTGTACAGTATTCTCTTCACTTGGCTATGTTGGTGGGCGTCTTTATGGACGGTCACTGAAAGGGGACAGGATATGGAAGAAGGAAAAATAAGCAAAACAGACCTCCAGCACTAAACTGAAAGCTTACAAAGAAAAGACACATTACAAATGAGTAAACATAGTTCTTCCTGTTAAAAAAAGATTTGTACATTACTAAATAGAAAACCAAATGAATAGTACAATTCAGAATTCTTACGGCTGTGATCACAAAGGATGAGAAAATCCACTTGTTATGCTGTTATTGCCCAGCCACTGTTATAGCCTAGGCAAAACACATCTCCTAACGTATGAAGAAAAGATAACAATTTCAAATGTTGATATCCTTAAATATAATAACATTTGCACAAGGGAATTGAGTTTTTAACAATATGAGACTTTTGTGGTACAACAGAAATGTTCACCACGTTTTTGTCAAGGAGCAGTGCACTGTAGTTAATGTCTGAACATCGACAGTTTGGTATTTATTTTTTTTATTTTATTGCATCTGAAATGACTTCACCTGATAATAGTTCATTATATCAGTACCTTATGACCTACAACTGACCCTATTATTTAGTCCAGAGACAACCCAGTCCTTACATCAGTTGTTAGCATAGCTCCACCCTCTTTTTCTGTTAGCTTCCTTGAACCCTTTTCTATGCTGATGAGCAGTAATGATCACAGCCTTGAAGTTAAAGGCCAAAGACATTGTTGTAAGACCTAAACAATTGGAAGTTATGAAGCTTGTTTGAGCGAATTGCTTAAATTCATCCTCCACAAATGCAATAAACTATTTTGAATGTAACAAATTCTTGAAGAGTTGCAAGTGATGGATCAGCAGCACAGTCTTTAGAGGTTGTATGCATTACATTACATTTAGCTGACGCTTTTATCCAAAGCGACTTACAATTACAGGGACATTCTCCCTGGAGTAACTAAGGGCTAAGTGCCTTACTCAAGGGCACACTAGCGGTGGTGTTCCTGGTGGGATTTGAACTCACAACCTTCCAATCTTCAGCCCACCTCGCTATCCACAACTACCCCTGTGCCCAGTGGGTTCCAAGCTGTGGATTTGTCCCTTCTAGTGACATTAATATGGCCGTGGTTAAAGAAATAAAGCTAAAATATCGAATTAAACATTAAAAAAACAACAATACTTGTATGCTAGCGAGGCTGTCAAGACTCAGGTGAAAGGACTGTTATTGTAGTCCATCATCAATTTGACTTGCGTTGCCACTTTCTGCAATGTGGTTAGTGTGCGATGGAAAGGATATTGGTTAAGTGGGAGGAAGCATGGTTTGCTTTATACGTGTGTCAAAAGTATTTGAAAACAACTTGTTTCTATATCAAAATATAATCCAATTATATAAATATTGTTTTCCATGTACGCAAAATATATATCGAACAATTTTACAATTTCTTTCTAGTGTGTGTGCAATGGAAAATCGAGATGCCACTGTGCAGGGGTGAAAGGCAGCCGGGTGAGTGGATCATTTATTGTCTGTTCAAAACACTCATCATCCTCGCACACCACGCTTTACAATCACAAGCAATACACTTTAGGTGCAGTTGTCCAGTTCTACACTAGTCATATCAGGTGCAGAGCCTTGTTATATCACTGTTGAAAAAGCATAAATATCTTCTTTTTAAGTTTCTCAACATCCTTTTTTGTTATTTTGGCCTTTTTCAAGAGCAACCAGCTGTTTCCTTATAAATCCACTCGCAGTGAGCTCCAAGAAAAGAGAGCAGGACACACTCACCCCTTTCAGTCTTAAACAGTTCAGTCTAGGCAACGGTCGGCAACAAACCATGTGACTGTAATGACTGCTTAGTCGACATTCATGGTAGAGAATTTTAAGATGAATAGGGTTAGAAAATGAATAAAGAAAAAATGATGTGTTATATTTACTCCAGTTGTTTCGGTAAAACTAACAATTTTAGGAGAAGTCAAATATTTTCATTTTCACTTTGCTTATCATTAGTCTTAGTGTCAAAAGCATCAGTCCTGAAGTTACTGATAGGTCTTGAATACAGTGCCTAACACTTGACAACATTTCAACTATTTTATTAAGCTTTCCTGATGTTGTTACAGGTTTGTTACCAGTAGTAATATTTGAAAACGTAGGCATTAATAAAATATATGTGTGAATTTAAGTTAAATCTTTCACTTTGAATGAGCCTTGGTTGCTGACATGCACTTGTAATATGTATATACGGTTTGTTTTATTATTATTTGTTTACTGCCCTCTTGTCCTTTTTTATCTGTCTCTCTCTCTCTCTTCTCTCTCTCTCTCTCTCACACACACACACACACACACACACACACACACACACACACACACACACACACACACACACACACACACACACACACACACTCACACACACTCACAGGGAGACAAAGGTTTTCTAGGACTTCCAGGTCCTCTGGCGTCTGCAGGTCATCCAGGACCAGATGGTCATGCTGGTCCTTCAGGCCCAAAGGTAGATGCAATACCTTGTTTTGTACTTATACTGCATTTGACCAGATCAATGAGATTGATTATGCTGTCTTTGACAGGGAAACCATGGGACCAGTGGACTTGTGGGGCCCAAAGGCGATCCGGTAACATAACTGGGTTCTTTTTGTGGTATTTGTTGTGTGTTTCTCAGTGTGTGAATATTTAGTTTAAAAATAAGTTTTAAATTACATGTATACATATGTGTAAATGCAACCATTTTGGTAGACCAGGTATCAACTCAGTAGCACTGGTGTCTTTTAAACTTTTGTACTGTTTTTGTTACCTTCATCACAGGGACCCGAAGGAAAAGAAGGATTTGCTGGGTCTCATGGTTTACCTGTGAGTTATTTTACTCTATTACACATCAGTGTCTCTCTTTTCATCGTCTGATTTATGTATTGTGTACAAGTGCATGTTCCTGTCTAAAAATGACTGATAAATAACTTCAGCTGATATTCTCTTACAGGGTATCCCAGGTTTACAAGGGCCTCCTGGCCCCTCAGGGGCTCCAGGCTGCAATGGAACAGATGTAAGAAAATGTTGCATATTAACAGTGGCATGGCATCAAACTTGAAGTAGTCTTACTTTGAACCCATTGCAAACTTTCAGGGGGACGACGGACTTCCTGGTGTACCCGGGGCAAATGGCTTTGATGGAAATCCAGTAAGTTAGTTATGTTGCAAATACAGTGTTTTAATTTGTTACACTTATCAACTTCAGTCTTTTATTTTGTAGTGCTGTCCACCAGGGAGTGTTTACTGTTTATAGTTTGTTTCAGCTTTGTCTTTACTTTACAGGGTACACCTGGTCTGCATGGACCTAAGGTAATAAAATGGATGGTGCACCACCCACGGTCAGTTGTTTAGTTCTTTTGATCCTAGGGAAGGGGGAAACTGCAGAATTGCTCCCCACTTACAGTCTTTAAAGACGTTTATTATCAGGATCCTGTCTCCTCAAGCTGCCGAGCTCATATGTACCTAGTCCATTTGAGACTAATAAATATTTCCAATAGTTTTGTTTCTTCTATTAAGTCCATCCTTTAGCCAAATAAAATGAGTTCTCAGATCTGAACACTCGTTTGTATTCAAAAGATTACTAGAATTGAGTGCTAGTGGAGTATAGATATTGGACCTGGTACATAAGAAAGTTTTCTTGTGGAAATTGGTATGGGTTATAATCCTGATCACTTTCTGTCACAGTCTTTGCCCCAAGGTGTTGATCTGTAGACTCCAGTAACTTTTGAGTATAAGTGGACTGAGTTGTATCACAACATGCTAGCAATGGATCCGCAGCTGACAACTTGCCATGATGCTGTTCTTCCAGTAGAATTGCCACTGCTGTGGTATAACATGGGAGAAGGACAATGTGCTTTATATCACTTCTGATCCGTGACAAATAAAGAATGTACAAGACATCTCCCAAACCAAAACACATATGATACAAGTGCAGAAACCACTCCATATGTGCATACTAATGAAACTATAATACCCTGGTTTATCATAGGGTCACCTAAGGGTAATTTCCTGTGATATTTTTGTAATCCAAGGGGTAAAAGACAACAGCATGGAGGCAGAACACAAGTATTCTCTGGTATGCTCTGGTCTGTACAACATGTTGGTCAATGTAGGTTGATTTAAATCTGCTTTTTGTGGCTTGATTTGACCAGACTGAGATTACCATACTAGTACTGCTGGTTACGATTTTGCTCTTCCCTCATACCAACACTGTCTTACTGTGCAGACACATATTTCAAACTGCTGTTGTTTCACTTTAATGTCATCAATGTCAAGGCTGGTAAAAAAAATATCACCCATTTGTCCCCTTTTTCTTCAACTAGGTGTCAACCGCAAGTATGGTTGTCATTTGTAACTCCCTGTAACTGTAATTTATTAGCACAAGTTGCTGAATTGGTAAATGAGAAATGCGTTTTAAAGAGGCAACGGTTTTAAAGAGGCAACGGTTTTAAAGAGGCAACCCCTCATTGTAATTCAGAGTGCATACATGCATGTCAAGTGCACAGACACATAAAGATGGGTGATGTAGCCTGCAGAGCCAAACTGCGATGAAATATGAAACTTTGAAATAATGTTACATGTCACTGATTCTTGGGAATTTGGATAAAACAGGTTTTAATTTTGAAAATAAAAAGTTTGTTAAGTTACAACATCTGAAGTTATATCATTATAGACCAAGGTCTTGGCTGTTCAGCAATGTACCGGTGCAACCTCCTCATTTTGTATTTTTTTCATAAAATAGGTTTTTCCAGTCATTACTTTGTTTTGTAAACACCGTCAGACAAAATAAAAAGTGATTTATTTTTTATTTGTATTTAGTCTAATATGTATTTAGAGCTTTTAAATCATTATCTGGCATTCTAAGTACACATATATGCTGTAAAATGTTAAATATTCACTTTTGCTCATTTTTTATACTGTTTCACGTGTGCTCCTTTAAAAGATCTTACATCATACAACGTTTACTTTTAGCTTAAACAGACAAAGTAATGTTTTTTTACTTAAAAAACACATTTTTGTATTAAAAAAGACTATTACTTTAATAACTCAACAGCACTGAAGAAACCGATTACAAGCATATTCATTTAAAACAAATAAAACTCCCTCTGACGGTGGTGACTTTGGAACTGACGGTGGTGACACTAATCTGACGGTGGTGACACTGGCCTCATTACAACATGTATACCACTCAAGTCAATGCCTTGCTTAACAACTTTATTTAACAATTTGGTACAACAAATAACAATTGTGAGAACTGTGATAAACATTTAATTAAGGAACTTAAGATACAATTAAGCAATATCATCAATACAAGTACCCCACCCCCATATCATCAAATATCAAATCATCATAGTTAAAAAATAAAGTGATTACCAGTTGCAATAATGTACAATTCATTACTGACATCATCTTAAACTGTCATCTAGTGCCCCCTACTCATAAAAGAATACATTACATTCTTCTGTAAACTGTATATTGGACGTGAAGAACAGATAAGAAATAACAATCACGTAGAATTGCTACATGAATGAAATTATTAGTACACAAAATTCAATAGTTTTCACTACTTCATGGTACATAATTGTACTTCCTCTATTTTACAGGGTGAATCTTGGGGATCAGTGAACGCAACACCAGGTCCACCTGGGCCTCCTGGAAGGGACGGAGACTCGGTATCTATTTAGATTATGTTAATATTGATAGTATAATTCTGTCTGTACGATATTTTCCATTTCCATGAAAGTCATTATAATGAAAAAATATATAGTAATACTGTATTAGATTTGTTTGGTTTGCGTTTATTTATTAATATAAATGAAACATCCCTTAACTTTCAGGGAAGTCCAGGATACCCTGGGGATAATGGACAAAGAGGGGACCGTGGACCTTTGGGCTCTGTGGTGAGTAAAGTTTTGAGGGTTGCCTCGCAGAGAGTAAATATAGCACAAAAATGATTGTATGATGTTTGATACCTGTCTCTTATGAACAGGGGACTCCTGGTCTTGATGGGGCTCCAGGATCTAAGGTAATTTTATTAAACATGGATCAATACTTTGGACATGTCTGTACGTGTGAACGATTGTGAGAATTATCTGTGTGTAAAGCTGGCACAGAGGAAAACCACAGCTGCAGGGTTTTTGTTTTGGTCTGCTTCTTATCATAGTTAACTGTTTCAAGTGTCCTGTGAAACTCCTTTCAGACAGTGAAAATAGTAATGATAGGATGTAGTGTATTAGAGGAGCTGGCAGCAATGAACACAACATGACTGGAGAGAACCTGACCACAACTTAATTGGATAAAATTGCAAAATAAAGATATTTCTAAAAGAACACTGGTAGAACAACTTCTTTATACAAACAAATTACGACTGTTTTACCATCCTACAGGGTCAAGAAGGCATAGGGGGTTCAGGACCTCGAGGAACAAAGGTAATTATTTTTGATGCCTTTGCTCTGGTGACAGCTATGTTTTTAGTTTCTCTTAAAGGTCCCCTATTATACTGTTTTTCATCAATATATTATAGGTCCCAGATATATACAAAACATGTCTCTGAAGTGTTTGGCTCCAAATACCAAACAGATCACCCATTGTAGCATCCCATAAACCCCTCTGTTTCAGCCCTGTTTCAAAAGTGCTGATTCTGTGTGTTTTACTTTAGATGAAAATAAGGAGCCCCTCCCCACGCCCCTCTGCGAGATATTTGGTTAAAAATAACACAAAGGTGCTCTAGGAGGAGATTCAGGTGATAAGGTGGGCGGGTGTTACCTTGGTTGGTGATTGGCTAATGGTCACACAAGCCAAAAAATCGTTATGACATCAAAAAGTGGCCAAAATCTTATCAGCTCCTTTTCAGACAGGTTTTTATATAAATGGATCAGGACAAAAAGTGGGGAAATATTTTTTCCTGAAACTTTCAGAATCTCTGTATAAAAGACATGAAAAAGTGTATTTTCGATAATAGGTGACCTTTAATGTCTGTTGGCAGGTCTATGGAGTATATCCATAAAAAGCGTCAGCCAAATACAAAATTAAGTTTGCATTTTGTCTTATTTAACCGTGAAGATAATCTCAATGTGTTTGATGTAGGGGAGACGAGGACCAAATGGCCCACCGGGGCCGCCGGGTCGGATCAAGGTTTTTCTCACAGAGACTCAGGTGTTGAAGGTACAGTAACAGACTGAGTCAAATCACTGTAGCAATAATATATTCCAAAGAGTATGGTTTCATTTGAACATGTTGGAAAGATAAAACATTTTCATTGCGATTAAAGAACCATAACCTGAGACCTATGTCTCATTCAGGGTGAGAAAGGAGACGGGGGAGATGTAGGAGAAAAGGGCTGCAAGGGTGCGCCAGTAAGTATATTCTTCACACATTTCTAATTGAATTCCCCTGCTGAACGTTCTGCCTTGTTAGTGTTTTTTGTTTATCCCTCTGATCCATGTCTTTATTTCAATCTTTTCTCAGGGAGACCCTAGTAACGGTTATAACACCAAAGGAGAAAAGGGAGACCAAGGACAGCCGGGTCCAGAAGTAAGATACTACCTACGACCTCTTCCACTCATCCTCACCTCCAAGCCTTCCTTACGGATTGTGCATATATAATATATGAAATAAATTGTTATATAGTTTTACACCATATCTTTTTCCCGGCAAACAGAGATGTCACCTCTTCACATTGCATTGATGGGCCAGCAGTTACACTTTGAGAATAGCTTAAGAATAAGGATGAACAGCAGAGGGCAGTAATGCAGCATTTCAATTAATGTGATTTGCCACATTGCTGCAAAAAGCCCCTTATTGATTGTCCCTCTGTAGTGACTAATTTTCTTTCTTATCTTAGTGTCTGCACATTTGTACTATTCAATGTGTGTCATTGTTTCTTGCTTTCATGCAGCAATTCCCTTACTAAGAGACAAATAAAGTAGATTGACCTTATCATCAATGTGTATACAAAATGTTGCATAATTCAGTTCCTAAAAAATTGCTTCAGCCCAAGATATAGTGTTTAGTGTTAATGTACTACCTCCTGTGACTCCCTCAAGGCCCATCTTTCTACTTTGAAACAAGGGAAAGGGTTCTCTTCAGGTTTTGGGACAAAACCTCAAGTCTGATTTCACATGGAAGGTCGAGCTTTGCTATGCCTTGTGTTTTTTTGTAGAACATCTACGTCTTTAGCTGAACAATAAGACCTCTTGCTCCTGATATTTTTTAGGATTCCATGCAGCCACCCAGTGTGACTGAGAATTTCAAATCTGAGCCTGAGCTAGAATTGTGTGTGTCATGTGGACACCATGTTAAATGCTCTATACATGGTTTTCATTTTGTTTCATTTACTTGTCGCATGCATCTGAATGGTGTCACTGCTTTTATAGGGAGCCGCTTAACCCTCCATATGTAATGAAAGAGGGGCCTCCCCTTAAATCCTAGCTGTTGATTGCTTTAATGCTTACTGTGCCAATAAATATTACATTTTCAATAATTCAATTCATTAACGCATGAGGTCCTTCATAAACAATTTCATTTATAGAAAGTACACCTGCCAATTGCTCACTGTCTTCCTCTGTTGTCGTTACAGGGAAAGACAGGGAAGGACGGTGAACCAGGACAAACATATGTGGTACCGCTCTACTTTACAAAGATTATGGATATATGTAGGGGTATTGTGTCTTCTTGTGTTTGTGGCTTTTTAATACAATATAGTTTTCTTTAGGGAAGGCCTGGACCCAGGGGGGATCTGGGAAATCCAGGGACAGCAGGAGCGATGGTTAGTGATTTCTTATAAGCAAAATAATAACTCAAGACTTTTGCGGGGTTTGGTATGTTTTGTACTTAATCCTTTGATTGACTGAACTATTTAGGGTGGAAAGGGAGATAGGGGGTCCCAGGGTCCCCCTGGCCAACCTGGACATGTGAGTATATCCTTTTCATTTTCTACTGTGTACTCCTGAACTTTGTGTTTTTTTCAATCCAGTTTCCAAGGCAATTTTCAATTCTATACGAAATTATTATTGCATAAATGCGTTGCCGTGATTAGCCTGTGTTGTACCTCAACATAACAAAGTTAAGGTAACTCTCAAGATATTGCCTGAATTTCTTTTTAGATACTGATCAACTTTTTAATGTTGGTAACACATTTTGTTTAATGTATAAACTGCTGAAGCTCTGACTGCAGCAACAATGCAGATGACATGCTACTGTAGATATGACAAGTGATTGAGAGCGGGGGTCGCAGAGGTGTGGTCTAAAAAGGAGCCTACTATATGTCAGAGAAGACAAACCACCTGTGATCTTTAGCGCGCCCTTGAGGGGGGCTTCTTTTTCTTGCTGTTTCATTTTGATTTCTCTACATGTCCCCTATGATTATATTGAAGATATTTGGGCCTGTGACTGAGCCACTCAAAGGATACCACGGAGATCCTGGTTTCCAAGGCTCTCCTGGGACACCTGGGCGTCCAGGTAAACGAAAATAATAACCCTAACCCTAAGAAACAAAAAGAGATGAACAACAAATAGATCCGGTGGCCTTAAGTCATTGTCTGCCTTGATTGACAAATGATATTTCTGTAGATGTGGTAGTTATGACTTTATAGACTAATGTTTGCTTTCAGCAGACATGCCTCTAGAGGAATAACACTTTACTTTTCTTTTCTCAGGTATTGAAGGGTTTCCTGGAGCTGATGGTCCTCCAGGTGTGTAGTGAAGAGGCTTTTCTCATCCTTTGTATCTCTCTATCTCCCAATCAGGGAATACATGTATTACTTTAAGTGTGCCTGAATATATTACTTACAGTTTTCTCTATGAACATTACACAGGCCATTCATCTGGGATATCTGTGCCAGGCCCACATGGTCCTAATGGCTTTCTGGGCCACAAAGGGGACCCTGGGGAGCCTGGGAATATTTATCCAAGACTTTCAGGTATAGATGGGGATGATGGTGATCAGGGGCCTCCTGGGGATCCGGGCCCACCCGGACCGCCTGAAGACAGAAGTATGTGTAAATTCCTTTCTTGTAAAAAGACACTTGCTTTCTTCTGTTTTCTGTGATGTAAAGATAAAATAGCCGCAGTTCTATTGCATAAATGCATGCGACTGTAACTTGATGTGATGGAAAAGAGTGAAAGGTGCGTGTTTAACAATTGAGCCATCTGTTATAAGTAACAACATGGTAAAATAATGTTCAAGATATGATTACATTTCAAAGTGCTTCAGTTATGCTATAGGCATACAAGATGATAATCTGTATTACTAACACAAATAAAAAATATAATGATAATAAAAATGCATTTTGACATAAATGTGGCACTTTTACCATAATAACTTGACTGATGGACTTGTGTTGATTGCAGCTAACAGGATTACCAACGCTCCCCCAGGAATGAAAGGGGTGATGGGTAGACCTGGACATATGGGACATGATGGGACATATGGAATGAAAGGTGGGAAATGAATTGTCCTTCATTGACTATGTTCCTAATTGGTTTAACACCTCTTCAAGTCACTAATACTGGTAAACTATTGCATGCAGTTATTGAATAACATAATGGACTGGGGGGAGTACGAAGAGAAAATGTAAGGAAAACATAATATTGTATAACATAATTGGGACTCATTATATTGCTGCTCAAAACATTCCAATATTTTTTCTTTGTTCAGGAATAAAGGGGGAGCCGTGTTATGCCTGTCTTGTATCAGATTTCCCAGGACCACCGGGTCCCCGGGGCCTACCTGGCATCCCTGGTAAATAAATTCACTGCAGGAAAACGCAGAATCTACCAAATCTGTCCTTCTTCAACATTGGAGTGCTTTCTTTAGTAAAAGTTTTGGAAATACTACAGTGTAGATAAGATGAACAGAGTATGAATGTTTGAAACTGAAATAGACATTCTTTATACGTCTGTGGCTCAGGATATAACCAAGGACCAGGTGCTAAAGGTGATCCAGGTTTCCCAGGACCTGATGGCTTAGGAGTACAAGTAAGAAAGAATGCATGTCTTAAAAAACAAATCCTTATTTTTTACCAACATTTGTGAACAATAATTCTCCTCTGAAGGGTCCTATAGGTCGAATGGGATTTCCAGGCCCTCAAGGACTAAAAGGAGACTCATATTCCTACAACACTCCTGGGATAAAGGGAGAGAAAGGAGACCTGGGACACCCTGGCAGACCTGGTGCAGGTGCACTCCCTGGGTTTCCTGGACAACCAGGACGAAAAGGCGAGCAAGGTCCCCCAGGGGATTCGGTGAGAAGGTTTTGTCAGGTTTCAATTTAACATGCCATTTTGTCACATGTTAATGTTTCAACCTTCTTAATTCATAGCCATTTGCAAAGGCCCATGCAATAGAATTTATGGTTTAAGTAATTGTTGTAATAAGTTCTCCGTCTTCTCTCCAGTATCCCTTACATGGTGCAGTGGGAGAACGTGGTTACCCGGGTCCACCAGGTTCTTTAGGTATACCAGGACCGGTTGGCTATGCTGGGTCAGTGGGATACGGGCCTCCTGGACTTCCAGGAGGTCCGGGAGATGCTGGTGTAACTGGCCTGCCAGGACACGCTGGATCTCCAGGTAAAGAAACACCTATAAACAATATATCAGACATTTATACATGAACACAAGTAGATAGACAGAAAGACTGAAAGCCATTGGGTGTCCTTTCTTTTCTTATTTCTTCATTTGTAGGCCAGAAAGGCGAATCCACACATATCCACACCATAGGACCTCCTGGACCGCTTGGATTTAAAGGTTTGCCTGGTTCACCCGGAATCCTAGGTAAGTATTTATTATTGGATGAATGATATGGTGTTTACATTGCCACACAATAGATGATGGAAGCATTTCCATACTTACTAACAAACATCCAGGTAAGCACGGAGTGCCAGGTAGCCCAGGACTAACAGGTTTTCAAGGACAGAAAGGAGAGAACGGTGAGGTGTCGTTTCCTGGAAGACCAGGGATCCAAGGACAGAAAGGTAATCTATGTACTGTTGAGCACACGCAGAAAAGCTGCATCGATAGCATAATCAATTTCTGGAAGTTAACACCTTCTTAATCAAATGGGGAGCAGCTAAAAGTATAGTTAACTTTGCAATCATGTCTCTGTGTGTGTGTGTGTGTGTGTGTGTGTGTGTGTGTGTGTGTGTGTGTGTGTGTGTGTGTGTGTGTGTGTGTGTGTTTTTGTGCAGGTGACATGGGGCAGCCAGGTATCGCTGGTGTTGCAACTGTTGGTGATTTCGGTCGGCCAGGTTCACCAGGCCCTCCTGGTCATGCAGGACTGAAGGTCAGAGAAACAGACTAAATCGGACATTAATATAATTATATAGTTAACAATTACATTTAGTATATTAGTACTTTATTGGTCATTAAATAAAGCAAATTAAAGGGTCAAACTAAAGGTCACCAGTTAAAATACAGAAGGGTTTACACTTACAGATGCAGATTAAAAATAGGAAATAAAAAATATTTTCCAAGCTTTCCTGCTGTTGTACCGTCTAAATGTTATATTATTTCTGTTGAGATCTTGGATTAGACAGCAAGAGATCAATGTACATATGGTAAAGAGGCTTTTTGCTGAGAGTATGATGAGAAGATTGACATCATGTGACCCAATAGCACATATTCGAAAACCAGTTTGCTTTCGGTAGACCAGTAGAAAAGAGACATTTTATTGTTTGGATTTGTTTTAGTAGTGCAGAGTAAAGTTAACGCTTACGTTGCAAGTTAATACTTTTCCAAGACATTCAAATGCTCGTTTTATTGGGTTTTTGAATAGATTTTGTTTTCTTTGATCGACTTTTTTTGCCCAAACTTCTGTTGCAATATAATAAAAGTACCCCCTTGAAAGGAATCAAATTGGATGAAGACTGTTAAGGACTCTCTAGCAGGAACAGCTGTTATACACATTTCAGAGCACAATAACTATACCACACTGAAAGCACATTGAAATGTGTAAGTATAAATAAATAATATTCTGTATGTTTGTGATCATCAGGGTGATGGTGGCCCTGGATACGCTGGCCTCCTAGGACCACCAGGGCTTCCAGGGGAAGAAGGAGCTCAGGGGCCTGTGGGAGATCCTGGGTTCCCTGGCTTACCTGGGAACCCGGGTCCAAATGGCAATCTTGGTTTTATAGGAGAAAAAGGTACGCATAAATCAATTATAAAACTGTATCCCACAGGCAGACAGAAATCCATAATAAGAAAATAATGCATGTTTCAAACACACACAGACATGTGTTTTCATGCATTGCATACATATTCATACAAACACTTCTTCATCTATAAACTGCTTTAATCTATGTTGCATACAGGAGGTAAAGGTAATGTCGGGCCCCTAGGACCTCCTGGTTATCAAGGTTCATGTAAAGGTGATTTACCTGGACCAAGGGGACTTCAAGGACCAGGCGGTAATCCAGGAAATCCAGGTCAGTGTTTATTGAAGTCATGTGATGTACTTAACTGTCAACTCCAGACGATGAATACAGTAATTGAACGACAACGAAAGGCCAAAAGAGGGTTGAAAAATAATTCAACAATGTCCAACAAGTGTAGACAGCTTCTTCCTGTAGGGTTAAGAATACATTAAAACGTAAGAAATAACAATAATAACATTTATTAATTTGGTTTTCACCATTCCCTTAACCACATTCAGTGTTTCCCTCTGCTCCCCAACTATATTTTCTCCTGTCTCTCTGTCTCCCCTCTCCCAGGACCTAATGGTCTGCCGGGGGAGAAAGGGAACCGAGGAGTGCCGGGGTTTGGTCCTGCTGGGGCCCCTGGTGAGCCTGGTTTAATTGGGCCAACCGTGCTAGGTCTAAGTGGGTTTCCTGGACTAAAAGGGATCAAGGGACAACATGGCCCCCCCGGTCAACCAGGTACAGCATTGTTTGTCTGACAGACACATATTTAAAGGTGTTTTATTCTAGATAGATTGGGAGTGGGTCATTTCAACTTCAAAAACGTTTAAAAAACTTCTAAATGTGCTTAAGTAAAAGTATTTATTATGCAAAAAATGAAGCTGGATTTGTTATGGTTATTATATCACAAAATGTCTCTTAGATGTATACGGAGTAGCATAAAAACTAAATACTCAGGTAAAGGACTATTATGTCAAAATAATACTCTAGTAAAGGACTTGAGAACATAGAGTTTTCATGAGTTCCACTCCTCTAGGAATAAGAGGAGACCCTGGACCAGACGGGTTACCAAGATATGGACCAGAGGGGCTCCCTGGAACTATCGGACCACCAGGCCAAATAGGTGCGCACACACACAAACACACACACACACACACACACACACACACACACACACACACACACACACACACACACACACACACACACACACACACACACACACACACGCGCAAATCTGTACACTACACATGTTTTCCAAAAAGATTCATTTAAAAAGTCTTGCATCAGTTTTTAAACAATGGTTGATGATTTATGGTAGTTTTATAATGAATACAATTATGATGGAGTCAATGCCTCTATTGACAGGTACCCCTGGCCGACATGGGGCAAGAGGTCTCCCAGGTCCACCAGGCATTAACGGAAACCCAGGTCCTGGAGGTCTTCCTGGCCCTTCATCACCACAACCAAAGGAAGGTTTTGGGCCCCCAGGGGACCCTGGCAGTCACGGTAAGCTTCACAGTCAATCTTTCTCATTAATATGTCATTTCATGATGCTTACAGGTGTTTCACAAAACACAACTGACATGTTTTGAGGGATCTTTCTTTTACATAACTTTTAGGTTTTTATATCAAAGGACACTCTTGCATGTGAAGCGGTAAATGCAGTCTTTGCAAGTTAAGTCTATGTAATGGTTGTACATTTGTAACTATACCTGTACTTTTTCAGGTCACCCCGGTCTGTCTGGTATCCATGGAGATCCTGGAAGTATTGGACCAAAAGGGCAGAGAGGGATCGGTGGAGCACCAGGGCGTCCCGGACAAAAAGGTTTGTTATTCTCATCTCTACCAATACAATAGCCATTGTTTTTGGCCCCTAGATCTACCGTTTTTGAAACTGCATTTCTGCCATCGTTGTCCAGGTCTGCCGGGTGAACCAGGTGTTGATGGATTCGTGCACTCAGTAGGTAGTCGAGGGCCTTCTGGATCTCCCGGAGACCCAGGAGTCATAGGGCCTCCAGGTAAGATATCACATATCACATATATAACCTCACTAAAGTACAGTAATACTACTAAATAGCTCTATAACTACAAATTCAGGATAAAATCACATTTTATTTTAATAACCATTCAAGGGGTTCTGAAATAAAGTAATTCTCTAAAATAAAGACCTAAAGCGACCTTGAGGTTATGAAAGGCGCTATATAAATTCAAGTTATTATTATTAAAATAATCTGTACTGTCAAGTGTACTTTGCATTGTGCTGTACGTGTAGATATCACGGTCTCTTTTAATATACCTTACCTTAAATAATTGTTTGGTTTAACCCTCACAGGCCCAAAGGGAATCAAAGGAGATCTAGGAATCCCTGCAGGGCCAGGTCCAGATGGTGTACCAGGTTCACCCGGTAACAAAGGAGTTAATGGAGAGCCAAATTACTATGGATATGGACTACCTGGACCAGTAGGACCAAAGGTACTGATGACTGATCTAAACTTTTTTTGTAACTGATGCGGCAGAGCAGGGTCCAATCTACTAAAATACTAAAACGTTTGTAGTTTTGAGGCAATAATGACGATTCCTCTCTGTTTTCTGTTCATCTTGTCCAGGGTGAAGCAGGATCAACTGACCCTTATCTGATGAAGGGTCAGAAAGGAGAACCTGGTTCTTTTGGACCTTTAGGTTTACCAGGAAACCGTGGAGCCAAAGGAAACCCAGGGCCTGTTGGACAAAATGGTTACTACCACTGTTCACGAAGATAAGGCAGATTATGATCGTTGTATGTTTTGCTCACACTAAGTTAACCTCCCACCTCTCTCTTGTCCCAAACCCTGCTATCCCAGGTTCACCAGGCTTTCAAGGGCCTGAGGGGTCAGATGGACCTCCACAATACAAAGGAGGGTTAGGACCCAATGGGCCAGCAGGTAATGTCCTTTAACGACAACTTATTTTTGCTAATGAAGGAAAACTTTCGGTATATGTTAGTTAATCAACTATCAACAAACTTTACGGTACTCACTTTTGAAAGGCGACAAAGTTGAATCTCTATTATTTTTGCAGTTTGACCGCATCTGTTTTCCTCAGGTGACCCAGGCCCACCGGGAGTCGGTGGTTCTCTAGGTCCTAAAGGCAATCAGGGCCGCGACGGCATACCTGGACCAGCAGGGCAGAAAGGAGACACTAGTAAGAGGAATTATCCATATACATATATGTAGGGCTTTCTGAGCTCCTGCACATCATGTATATGACAAAACTGTATGGATTACAGTTTATATTTTCTTTATGTCCATACCCCTGGCCAGTGGAAAAGTGTCTATTTCATAGCTATTAGTACTTTCAAAGCCATCGCTGCGGCCAAACTTAACCTGTTTTTCCATCTCGTCTTTGTAGACATATTAGAAGGGACACCTGGTAGGCGTGGTGACACAGGTCAACAAGGTGAGTTTCAGGTAAACTACATCATTCTTTTAAGAAACTTTAAGATGTCCCCAGATGAGAATTATTATCTACCTGTAATGTTGCATAGCACAAAATTATTTTTAAAGCAACACTTTGTTTTGTCTTCAACATTTGATTATTAGCACTGTTGAGAAATGAGTGCCAAACATTTATATTTCTGCACTGTAGGTACCCCCGGGAGCCCTGGTCCCCCCGGCTTGTCTCTTCCAGGGGGTCCTGGAACAATAGGAGAAAGAGGATTTCGAGGTTCACCTGGAGCCTCTGGCCTGAAAGGATTACCAGGAAGAGAAGGGGCATGTGTTTCTGGCTCAAAAGGAGACCGTGGCCATCCAGGCAATCCTGGTAGCCCAGGTGAGGATACACAGCTAGAGGTTAAAGGGTCACACATACCCTTGGGGGAAAGTGGGATATATCCTGATTGCTATGTTTTGCAACATTTACAAACATAGTACTTTTGAAAGTGTTACGAATAATTATAATTATTTTATTTGCCTGGTTCTCAGTTGTAACAAATGCATTTTGTTATACTAAAATAACTATGTCCTCCCTCCTGTTAATGTAGGCTATCGTGGCTTACCTGGTGATGCAGGTCAAGCAGTGCCAGGGTTTAAAGGAGACAGAGGGGACCCAGGTTTCACAGGAGGCCCAGGCTATAATGGCCCCAGAGGAGATCTAGGCCCTCACGGTCCGACTGTAAGTGAGCCGTATATCTATGTGTTCTTTGCAGACTAAATACTGAACAAATGCTTGTCAGATAAGTAATTAAATGCTATGTCCAGTGTTCTGTTTTTCTTCATATTTGTTTTTGAATGAGCATTATTGGTAGTTACATCACAACTGAAGCTGAATCTTTGACCTTTCATTGTTTAATCTTCCTTCTCAGGGTCCAAAAGGCAGACCTGGAGGCCCGGGTCCAAGAGGGGATTCTGGTCCTCCTGGAAACTATGGAAACCCAGGTAATCTATCATATCCATTTTAGACTAGAGATTTTGTATTTTCTTTCAATTCTCTGCCAGACAATAGCATATCTGTCTCCATAGAAGAGTTATAATCCACTATTGATTTATGTGCCCACAACTGGGATGAAATATAAATTGTCCAGAGAAAAAAGTAAAATAAGATTTATGAGGATTCATTTCACTTTTTTTCTGTGATATCCAAGATTGGAATTTCCACGAAAGGGTAAGATGACAAGATAATTATATTAAATCTATTTATGACCTCTGTTTCAGGTGGAAAGGGAGACCCTGGATATATCCCAGGCCCTCCTGGTCAATCCGGGGTGAAAGGCTTTCCTGGACGACCTGGTACGGCAAACGTTTGACTACTGTTAAAAATAACCAGGAATAATACTGATCCCTATTAATATCTTCTAGACTTTTCGACAACAGATATGACTCACAGCAGAGATTCAATATTCCAGTGAGCCTTCTTAGATAACTAGTCTAACACTTGAATATCGTCAATGTTAGCATTCTGCTGCCCTTAACTAATTCTAGCAAATATGTCAGCCATGTCCCACAGGTATAATGTGTTTTTTGAAAAGCTTTCCAAATGCTTGTTCTCTGTCACTACAGGCAACAAAGGTGAACCTGCAGTGGTCGGGGTGAAGTATGAATCAGGACTTTCTGGCCTACCTGGTCCCCATGGCAATCGAGGATCTCCAGGGAGCACAGGGCCTTCAGGACCAACAGGCCGACCAGGTACACAATGTAACCGTAGCTGCTTCTATGTATTGATTTTAAGATTTGGTACTTTGCCAAGGATAATGCACCATGTTTCCCCCCAGTTTAATACCATGATATTTCCTATGCATTAAATGAAGGTAGACATTGTTCAATACTAGCTTTATTTTGTTTTATATATTTGCTACATATATTATTTTCTTGTCTTGTGTATGCTTGTATACTGATAAAGTCATGAATGGTTTATGTTTCTAGAACATCTTATAGAAAAAGTGTCAAAAACAAAACAAAAAAACGAATAGATTGAAACTCAAACGTCACATGTATAGAATATTTATTTCTTGCTTGTTAAAACTATATATTCAGCTCTTTTTTTCCGTTTTTTTTTGTGCCCCACGTGACTCTTAATCCTTCTGTTCCAGGTCAGCAGGGCGTCAAAGGACAGCGCGGCCCCAGCCCAGGCGGCCAACCCGGATTTACTGGCCACAAAGGGGACAGAGGAAGCTCAGGACTTCCAGGTGTGTGTGTGTGGATTAAAAAGGAGTGTATGTGTGTTTACACCAGATTATATGTTATGATTAAAAATAGGCATTCTCTGCATGGTGATCAATATGAATTCCATGTTAAAAAATACTGTTTTGTCCAACAGTGAGAATAAGCAGTGAAGCAGATTGTAGTACACCACTCTAGCCAAACAAAACCACTCGCATGATGTCAGCTAAAAACACAGTTGTTATTTTTTGGTATTAATAATGGGTTTTTCTCTGCAGGTCAAGAAGGCAGACCTGGTTTCCCAGGCAACAAGGGTCCTCAAGGACTGCCAGGCATAGGGGGTCCAAGTTATTTTGACAGTTTTCTGATTGCCAAACACAGCCAGAACACCAGCATCCCGGACTGCCCTTATGGCACTACCTTCATCTACTCTGGTTATTCTTTCCTCTTCATCAACGGAAATGAGAGAGCTCATGGTCAGGATCTTGGTAAGAGCATGGAGAACTTTATTAATATAAATCATTTGCAGCAGTAATTAAATATGTGTCTGAGTTAGTCATTGTCTGACTCCGTCTCTCAGGCACCACAGGAAGCTGTCTACCTCGTTTCTCCACCATGCCCTTCCTGTTCTGTGACACCGAATCAACTTGCCGCTATGCTTCTCGTAACGACTACTCCTACTGGCTGTCCACTGATGCTGCTTTGCCCGCCAACATGGTTTCCATCACAGGGGATAGACTGGCCTCCTATATCAGCAGGTGGCACAGGAGCATATTCACAGACTCTTCTAATACTGTTTATTCTCTTACAAAGACGTCATTAACCCTTAGATGCACGAGTGACTGGACCCTACACTCTTCCATAAGTGGGTGTAAAAGGACCCGTATTAGAATAATGTGTGTTTTTATGCCATTTTTTTTAATTTGGTTAAGAAAAATCACCTTTATAATATTTAGTATTATATTTTGGTTCACATTATAAATATTTTATATTGAACTTTTCACAATTTATAATTTTAGACTTTTTTTTTATATTTAGAAAAAAAACGTTTTGACTCCTCTTGTCTACTCATAGCCCACCCCCCATCAATCCATGCCAGTTGATCAAGTTTGATAGTCCTATACCCCCCAACCTAACCTTCCCTTATATTGTAAAGCGATTTTGAGTCCTTGAAAAGCCCTATACAAATTAATGTATTATTATTATTATTATACTGACAGGTATCAGATCTTGCTGTGTAAAATAATCTTCCTGAGAGGTGTCACTTGTGATGTAGTCTGTGTGGTGGTCTACAGTGAATGTATTCCTGACAGCCACAGGTGATAAGAATCAAAGGTTCCCATAGGATCCCATAGAAAATGCATGCGGGTCATTTTTGACCCACTTATGGAAACTTGGGGTAATACAATACAACAACTACAATTTATTAAAATTAAATTTAAAATGTGAATGGCATGATATCCAAAACATGTTTTCTGAGGAATAGCTGGATTATGAAATGATAAAAAAATGTAATTACAAAGATACTTCAAGAAAACCACCTCACCGGGTCCAAAAAGACCCACTTATGCATCTAAGGGTTAAGAGAAGATAAAACAATGAGAACAATAAACTAATAAAACAACAGAAAGAACAAAAATAATAAAATAAATAAACAAATGGTAAGTATTAGCATTAGCTTTAATATTAATATCACATGCAAACTTGATCATAATATCTACATATAATAACAATGCCAGCTGCAGCATTGTTAACCATTTTATATAATATCCATGTGGGGTCCAAATATTATCAGAAATACCTCCTGTCTATTGTTCCATTACTGTGTCTTACAAAATTGCAAATACAACATCTTGTACATTTTCTGCTAAATGGAATATTCATTTTTTATAAATCACTTGATAACACTTGTTTTAATATAAATGTGTGTATGCATGTGTGTTTTAGGTGCTCAGTGTGTGAAAGCACATCCAATGTCATAGCCGTCCACAGCCAGACAATTCTGATACCTGAATGTCCCAGAGACTGGGAGTCACTATGGACAGGATACTCATTTGTCATGGTAAAAGGGCATATTTTGTATTTTTAGTCCCTTGATTTTCTCATGTGTTTTCTTTCACTACATTTTTCTTCATATTTCCTTCATCCCTTCTAGCAAACGGGAGCAGGAGCAGATGGCTCCTCCCAGCCGCTGGTTTCTCCTGGCTCGTGTCTGGAAAGTTTCCGCCAAGTTCCCTTCATAGAGTGTCACGGCAGGGGAACGTGTAACTACTACCCTGACTCCTATAGCTACTGGCTGGCCTCAATAGACCCAAACAGCATGTTCAGGTAAGCTTTTGTGGACGCATGCCATGGGGGATGCCTTTTTTATCTGCAGTTTAAATCATCACTCACATGTTTGGGTGTGTTAAATGTACATAAACAGCTGCTAATTGTAGAGGAATTATTTAGGATTGTTTAGTTTGTTTTGCGTGTCCTATGATTACCACAATACTGTTTCAGAATCAAAATCTTATCATACTTAAAAAAAAGGATATGTTTGAACCGTATTACCACTTTGAATCGAGCCATTATACAGCTGTAATGTGTTTGTGCTTTGCTCTCTCCTACAGTAAACCTGTTCCTCAGACAGTGAAGGGACCGTCTATACATAGTGTCATCAGCCGTTGTCGAGTCTGTAGGAAACCATGGCAACCAACAGATGACAAACGTGGGGACAATTAACATTTGCTATCTTACTTTTCAATGTCATTTGAAGTATTGGAGTTTTGACACTTTGTAGGCTGTATATCTGTTTGTATCACTGGTGCTTTCAAGTAACACATCTCTGTTTATGATTCTGAATTAAACACCACCCTTAAGCAAATTTCAAATAATTTTTAAAGACGAGTGTTTTATCATCTCAAAAGTAGTGTATATTAGAATTATTGTGTGTTATGACACCTTGTAGAAACTGTGTTTTTCCACCTGTTTATAATTATTCATTTGATAAACATAAGAGCAGCTTGTAATAGCAGTGATTAAGTTATAACTTGTTGTTAATGTATTAGTAATACTAGTAGCAGAGCCGCACTAATTCATCTTTTATGTGTGTTTATTCTCACCGAAATATTCAGTTTTACTTTAAATGCTTGTTTTGACTTGTCAGTGACATAATACATAGTTGCCATCTGCGTCCTAGACAAGCCTAGAATGACTGAGAAATGATTGACCTGTCTATACCGTACTGATGTCAGTGAATGACGTAAAACGTATGATGTCACAGACAGATTACGCACATGTTCCTATACTGGAGAGGCAGTATGTTGTAAATCGCTTTGGAAATCTTGCATTGTTGTGTTTTCAAACCCACATATTTAGTCATTTGTGGCCTCACTCTAAAAGAATTTCTTTGATTTGTTTAGCAAGGGAAATGGTGCATGGAAAAGATTAAACTGTATGACTCACACTGCCTGCAACTTTCTCCAATCCACTTTTAAATTAACTGTCGGGAGGCTGTCTGTGTGTCTTCGGGGGAAAATGCACATTAAGGTATCAAGAGGTGTATTGTGGATTTATTTATTTTACATTACATCTTTCGCATTTTAAATTGTCAATTGAAGTTGAAAATATATTGAAATAAAAATACAAAAGAAACAAAAAAATGATTATTTTAATGGGATGTTGATTCCACATGGAGCCATTACTTTGAAACAGGCTGTTTGCAATAATGCAGCTAATCTTCTGTCCAGAATAGCCAGCAAACATCTAATTTCTCTGCACTATTTACTCTAAAATGTATCAGCAGAGCAATAGGTCCCTTAGGAACGGTCATTCAATCTCACTCATCCATATCTGTCACTGGGATCAATACTTGCAAACGCTCCATATAACGAAATGCAAAAAAGTACAACACCCTTTAACAACACTGGTTTTAAAATACTGTTGCTTTTTGGCAAGCAGATCTTCCAACATATCGATTGCTCAGAGTCAGAAATAACAAGCAGCCTCATACACTTATGCAAGGGAGGCAGCTGACACGAGTAACTGAAGAGGAGCTGAACCCTTTTTGGGAATTTAACGCCTGTGCTGAAGCATCACACTGATTATATCATTCGTTTTTGACATTTTTGGGGCAATTTCTCAACTCATTAAAAGTGAAGTTCCAAAACAACAACAAAAAGTCCTGATATTACAACAAGCCACACATGAAATAATTGTGACATGGAGACAGTTGTCAGCATGGATAGAAACACTCTGCCGTAAAGTGCTCTCGGTAGCCTTCTTAAAAGGATTATTCTGCTCCCAACAGTGCACTTACTAATTGTTTAGGCAGCTATATCAGGCTTCTACACCTCTGTAATTGGGTTAAAATGGTGATTTGTTGAAAGGTTGATGCGCTTCAAGGTTGTCTCCTATATGAGAAGGACATGTCCTTTCAGTTTCCTCCAAACATGTGCCTTACATGAAGAAGAACACATCTGTTCATGTTTTTACACGTTAGCTTCAAGGCAAAATCAGACAGAATGTTTTTTAATGTTATACTATACATTATATAACAGAAATGTAGGATCCCTTGTTAAAATATGTTTGTTACATGTCAAATCTCAATCCATAATTACTAATTATTATTTTTATTCTACATTGAGATAAAATCTCTTTTACAATGCTGACCTGGCCAAGAAGGCAGCAACGTTACACGTTCTTATACATAACACAGACATATAAAATACAGAGAACATAACTAAGTAAACAAAAGACGAAAAGCAGTTACTACATTGTGCACAGTTGGGACAGTAAGAAAGGTACACTACTTATTACTGCAAGAGCAGCTGGTGGTAAGGACCTCAGACAACTTCAATTTAAAACAGGTAGGGACAAGCGCCGTCAGTTTGAGGCTTGATTGAAGGTTATTCCAAGACCAAGGACCATAATAAAAAAGACTCATTTTTCCAGCCTCAGCAGGTACCTGGAACAGTATCCAGGCACTGGATCTGAGGTTGTGAGAGTCACAAACTGGAGCAAATCTGGCACATATATACAGTGGAAGCTTACCTAAAATGGCTTTATACAATAATAAAAACCAATGCTGCATCCATGCATACTAAGTGAGGACCATCCAGTTAGGCTATACAGTTTGCAATGATGAGTCGGGTGCATTATATATCGCAGTGCAATGTCTACATATTTGCAAGCTTTTAAAACTTCATTTAATAATTATATTACTGCAGGTAAACTCCATGCAAACTACAGAGATATTGTTACACCCACAGTGGTTAAAAATATTTTTTTATATCCATAGACTGTCAAAATCCTTAAGGAACAGCTGTTGAAACCCATCACTTACAGTCACTCAGTTGTAATAATGTAAGAGTAAGCCTGTATATGTGTTTAAACTGAGCCTTCAGTGAGAGCCTTTATCTAGCGCTAGTTGTTACGTGAGAAAGCCCTGATGTAATTGTATACTTTTTTTTAATTATTAACACTTGCTGGTAATAGAAGGAGATATGGAACAAGGACCGGCTTATTATTCAATGAGGAAGAAAATATTACAATTATATATTCACTGCAGCAAATCCAGTTTATATTAGTAATACCACATTTAAGATAAGTATTCCCTTTTGCTTCAAACTGAAATGGCAATTTTAGAAAGTAATTTGACCCATTGTTGCCGTCTCATTGACCTGATAACAACATACTAACTCAAACCACTGACTTTTGCCTGAGATATATATTAAACAGGATGATTTTAATGGGGTTACTTCAGTCCAAGTAATGCGGTTGCAAATTTACAGCATGTGCCATTACAAAATCACTATAGACTGTGACAAATGTGTCTTAATTCGGAAGCACAGGAACTGTTAAGTGAAACAGAGCAGAAATCTCATTAGAGGGATGAACAGAACAAACTCACAAGGGTGTAACAAATGATGAATTGACCTTTATGGACTATGGACATCCCAGTGTCTCTTAGCTGCCCGTAGATTCAACTTTTATGGCACAGTGGGGTTAATGAAATCATTGTTTCCTACATGTCATCGTCATTAATGTTTTATTGTAGATGAGTGCACATTTCACTTGGCTTACAGGGAATTGCTTTTAACACGGAGGCAGAGTGGATCTTTCACATTTGCGTGTCACGCCAATGACAGCACCAGTGTTAGCTTCAACCAGAGTGTTTATGTAATGATGACACCAGAAAAAACCCGGATGCGGTCTCACTTTTAATGACTGCTGTAAATTACATATCACGCTTCAGTGCATTGATGGGGCAAAAACACGTAATAGAGGATGTTCCTTACGCAAATAACCTGCACACTCCTCCCTTGTTGGGCCTCGGTAACACTTTAAAAGCAGATGTCTCCCAGTGGCATCAGCAGTGGATGTTGAGGTGTCTTACCTAGAAGAAATCTCTCAACAAGACACACACATCCAGTGAGGATGGCGCAAATCGTGTGCATTTTGGCACTTCTGTGTTTTGTATCATGTGGTGCAGAAAATACGGAGATTCAGCAGCGACTTAAAGACCTCCAACTTCAGAAAGACTCACTACTATGGCTCAACAAATTAGAAGACAAACAGGTAAGATGGCTTTATTTTCTTTAATATTTCTATACAGTATGTTGTTAATGTTTATCACATCACAATATGCCATCCTTCCCTTATGTGTTGGAAACCAGGCCCCAAGTGCCAGATACTGACTGCAGGCATCAGAATATCCTGCCTACAGCGTGTCAATTTATTACGTTTTTCTGCACTTGTGCGCACAACTTTTCATTCACCTTGATCTGTTAAAATTGTATTTGTATCCCCAGTGAGTCATTGATGTGTATGCTTTCATTTGATTATCCTCAAAGCTGCAACTCCATGAAAATGCAGATTAGAGATCAAATACTAACACAAGTTTTATTTCCCTGTCTGTCTATGAGCAGCAAATTATAAAGTTTCATATTCAACAACATTTAAGAGCTTGTAAATGTTTGAAATCCTCTTATACTTACACTGTGTCATTATGTTTCTTTGAAGGAATCTCCAAAGGAACTGAATTTAATAGACTGGCTTTATAAACTTTTCAAAGTTGAAAATGGAAATATCCTCAAAGGCCCCAGCGGCCCCACAGACATCGAGAGACAGAAGAAGAATCGGCGTGGACTGGGCAAGACAACTCGCAGATTCGGATGCAGAAGTTTTTACTGGAAATCCTGGACTTCCTGCTAACTCTGTTTCACTGAAGTGCCAGAAACACTGTTAACTGGATATTTCACTCTAGTCTCTTTTTAAGGCTAGGATATTGTTTTGTCTTGACCTAATTAATGTATTGCTTATTAAGTGTCCCATACAATCATTAAACTGCATTGCATTTTACGATTGAAAAAGTGGTTTGTGCTGTTCTTGCTCACATAAATGTTCTATGTCGATAAGAGTATATCATTACTTTATAGTTTTCAGAGAGCATCATTCCTTTTTGTATTACTGTTTGGCTCAAATCAAACTGCCTGTGAAAATAAAATAAGTTGTAAACTATTAAACGAAGCCACTAAAGACTATAGTTGTAAGAAACAATAAAAAGTAAATGTGCCATCATACTTTACTCAAAAGTCTTATCATTCATTTTTTGGACCGTTCTCACTAATCTGTGTAGTGCTAAATCTCAACATGTTGGCTTTTTCTGGAGGGCAACATTTGTATTTGTTTAAAAGTACTTCAGTAAGTTAAACAATACTCTGCATTATTTACAAGTCACCTGACAGTCTGGAGGAAGTGTAAACAATGAAGCCACTGAATAATGAATGAGAGGTAAATGAGCTTTTATGGTGGAAAAAAAGCTGAAAACCCATACTGAAGTTAAAAGGGCTCTGCAGTGAGCTGAAAAACTCTGTGCACCTGTAGACATGTGAGTTCTTGTTGACATGGTGAATCTGATATATTTCGAATCAATAATGAACACTTTCATGTATTTTTTGTTTCAATCAATGTTTATTTATATAGCCCAATATCACAAATGTTACATTTGTCTCAGTGGACTTCACAGTTTGTACAGAATATCAGTATGACAATACGACACCCTCTGTCGTTAGAGCCTCACATCGTACAAGGAAAAACTTCCGGAGAAAACCCACAGTTTAAAGGGAAAAATATAGGGGAGAAACCCTACAGGGGGAGAAGC